CGCCGTCCCCTGCACCATCCAGCTGCTGGGACCACGGCCGCCCCACGGCCCCTTTATAGCCACTGTTATCAGGGCGTTGCGACACACAGGGTCCTGGTGCAGGGACAGGGACAAGGACAGGGACAGGGCACTTCCTGCAGCCAGGGCGGCTCGACCCCCTCCAGACCCAGATCCACTCTGGCCCCCCAGACCCACATACCAGGGAAGGCCAAGAGTCATGTTTATTCATTTGGTCTCTGTCCAGAGTTGAAAGGTTTTAGGGAAAAATAAAACCCTGAATGGCTGAGGAAAAAGAGGGTATTTGTGGTAAAATGGAGATGGAGACACTAGAAGGGCGTGGGGGGGACAGCAACTGGCTGCTTGCACAGCGCTTTAAAACAGCATCAAAACCTTCAGAAAACCCAGAAAACCCAAAAATCAGCCCAGGGCCTAGGCACAGGCAGGGCAGGGGGAGCCCCTTAACCCTCCTCATCCTCCTCCTCTAGGCAGCAGATACGCTTCCGCTTCCCCCGGGGCTGTGGGTCCTCATCCTCCTCGGAGCAGGGCCCTGTGGGGGCCAGTCCAGCACCTGCAGGTGGAGAGGGGAGGGGGTGAGTCCCCCTGGCCAAGGAGTGTGGAGTACACTTCTGCCCTCCATTGCCTCCCCTGCACCAGGGATGTGGCAAAAGGGACAGGGACAGGTCAATCATGACCCAGCAGTGCCTCATGCCCTGCTCCTGGTGACACCCAGAGGCCCCTCAGCCCCCCAGGAGAGAGTGAAGGGGCTGAACCCACCTGAGCACCCACCGTTCCCATCCTCACTGTCGAGCTCCCGGTGCCTCTTGGTGCCTGGCTGCACTGGGCTGGCGGAGGGGATGGGGACAGGCTCCTCACTGCAGCCACAGGGACAGGGGTTAGCACCACTCAGCTCCACCGTGGGAGAACACAGGGGGCTGGATCCCCTCTCCTAGCAGTGAGAGGACTCCACAAACTAGGGAGAGGAGACCCCTAAGTCAGGGAGAGGACCCTGCACTCACGTTTCTGAGTCTGATCCCAGCTCTGCTGGCAGCTGCTCTGCTGTTAGGCACAAGAGAGGGGCTCAGGGCCAGCCCTACAGCTGGGGGTCCCAGCGTGGCT